TTTTCCGTTTAAAAAACGTTTTGCACCGTTTTTGTCGGGGCAGCCCAGGTGTTTGTTGTAGCTATATGGGCGCCACGCTCAGTTTCAAATAGGCCTACATAAATTATGAGCCTTTATAGACATAGTGTTTCTTGCGTAAAGAAAACGCTGTACTTATTCAAACAACAAGATCTTTATTTACCCTTGCAGTTCAGCTGCTGTGGAACTTCAGTTCATTCGGTCAAGATAGAGGGGGTGGAGTTATGAGGTTTTACTGACAGTTTGAGCGGATCCAACAAGATTTAGTCACAAGCTCTTTTTAATACCTTTCATTAGCTAAATATTTGTAAAGATTGTAATTGTAATTGATTTATTGAAGGAAAATAAAAAAAACACCATCACCAAAAAAAGGGCACTTCGGAGTGTAAGGGCAAAAAGGGCATGTGCTCTGCACAGGTTGAGCCCTACCTGTGCACGTGCCTGTTTCTTAATATATAATTATAATACCACTTCCCGATAAGAACATCACTAAACAATAATTTAACATATAGTGTTCATTTAAACACATTAAAAATAATGAATATTTTTCTTTTTTGGGGTTTTGATATTTTCAGTTTTTACATCACTGCCTTTAAATGGCTGTTAAAGATGTTGCTGTTTCTCCATCTCCCAGCAGGCACTAACTGGACTATGATAACCATCCAAACCTCGACTTCTCTGCACACTCACCTGATAGGAGACCACATCAAAAAATTACACACTTCACTTTAGAGTTTGCTTTACAATGAAGTTGTGCCACATGCCAGCAGGTGGCAGTGTAAAACAAATTTACCATGACATTTTTGTGCCACTGTTCATTGATTCCCTTGCAACAGTGTGGCCGGTAAAGAGGTGTATGAAATTACTGTGACATCGTAGAATTCAGATGCCATCTTACCCCAACGATTTTGAAGGACAGTACCTCACAAATCACACCAGTCCTTCATTAACATACAAATGGAGGCCTTGGACTCACTTTCACTATATGGCGTAGCCAGGATATTTACTTAAAAATTCTTGTTTGTTTGCCACAGAAAAAAAGTCATAGGCGTTGAATGAAATGGAGGTGAGTAAATGATGACAGAACTTTCATTTTTGGACGGTCTATTCCTTCAATACAATATAATCTGGTCTTTTGCTCATTTGTGCTTTGTGAATAATAATCTACTTTTTTTGTGCTTTTGGAGCTTGATAGTATAGTTTTTTGACCCTTCATTAACTAACAATTGGAGACCTTGTACTCAACATGTCTATTGATTTCAGCATGCTGTGTGGTCAAACACATCTCTCATGGAAAATCTGACAGGATGTGAAATGATGTGAAATGTGAAATCTTATTGAATGAGACATGAAGAATACTCACTGCTGAATGTCACAGTGTTCACTGATGTGTTTTCTTTTGGGTTTTTGTCTGATATGTAGAGCCCTGCAGTCACCTGGCAGAAAATTCTACTGGCTGATAGTTTATCAGGTAAATGTGTATTGTCTTGAAAGTCTTATTATATAAATGAAGTAATTCTGTAGTCCTGTTGAATGACTGATTTACTGTAAATATCACATAAGGAAAAGATGTAGACTACTGAAGATTTCCATCACGATGACACAAACAATCTGCATATCAAAACAGATATGTTGACTATCACTGAATTCTAAATGTGTGACTAAAAGTCCCTAGCAGAGGAAAACATATGTGTAGAGCATATAGGCCTAGTCTTGTTTATTTGTAGTTAATCTACCATCAAAAGCCTGTGGTGCAGTTTGTTTGAATACACAAACCTTTTGGCCATTAAGCACTGTCATAGCTTATACTGACCAGCAGATGTCAATACTGAACAGTTTTTAAAAAAACGAACACTAAAATGTTGACTAAAATGACTAAATTATTTAAATGTTATATTTCCTGCTGAAGTGGCAGACAGACAACTTTAGTTACTTCATAATTTGTCGTAGCTCTTTAGTTGTAACTCCTGTCAGGAAATTTTGAACAATATACATCTTCATGAGCAGTGTCAGGATCCTTGCGTGATTGTATCAGTGAGCTGACAAGGTTGTGCATAAAGATTTTATAATATGTCATCATAAGATTTGGAATATATGGTGGAATATTAAAGGGGTCATATGATGTTGCTAAAAAGAACATTATTTTGTGTATTTGGTGTAATGAAATGTGTTTATGCGGTTTAAGGTTAAAAAAACAAACAAACATTATTTTCCACATACTGTACATTATTGTTCCCTTTCATGGGAACTTCGAACTGCGTCCTCTAGGGGTCGCTATGGGGAACGCCTCGTCGTGACCCATGTCTGAAGCATACATTGAAAAAACACCAACTTGTTGGCCGGCGACAGCCATGACGTCACTACCGGTGCGACTATAGTATAAATATCTTTCTTTGCGTGCACATTTGGGCGGTGTTATGCAAATCTTCCCACATCGTGACGTAGGTATGTGGGGGCGTGTTAGAACGAGCCGTTTTAGGTAGGCGTGGTTGACTATTAACTTTTATAAAGAATATCTCTTTGGATTTGAGACTTTAGTCTTTGTAACTTTACAGATCTTCTTTATGCACCAAGAGCTTGTAACACTCCAAAGAGAAAGGAAAAATTTAAAGTGCATCATATGACCCCTTTAACCACTTTTATGATGCCTTTGTGTCATTTTGGAGCTTCAGTCAATTCACTTTCATTAGCCTATATGTAGCAGGATATTTACTTAATCAACTTAATACTCAGTTTTCTTAAAACCTCTCAATTTTGTTTTCCACAGAAGAAAGTCATATGGGAACAACTTGCAGAGATGGGCACAAATACATCATAAAGTATTTTGTTACAAATTACAAATACTTGCTCATCCAATGTATTTATTTTAAAATACAAAATACTGGTGTGAGAAATGTATTTAATTAAAATACAAGTAATTTGACATTTGAAAATACAAAAATACAAACAATATTTACAAGCAATCATTTGAAGAGACACTGCAATTACATTTAGCAATACTGAAGTTAGATACACACATAAGACAATATATCCAATATATTGTTCCATATTTCTTCTAATTTCTTATGTTCACTTAAGAAACAACTGACTGTGTTTACTTGAATACCATCAAGCATGTCTACGCTTTA